CCCCTGTACTCAGCACTGGTGAGGCCATAGCTTGAGTAACGGGTTCCATTTTGGGTGCCACAGGACATTGAGGTGGTGGAGCAGGTCCAGAGAAGGGCAACAAAGATGGTGAAGCATCTGGGGAATGTAGCTTATGAGGAGCAGCTTAGGGGCCTGGGGTTGTTCAGTCTGGAGAAGAGGAGGCTGAGGGGAGACCTTATTGCTCTTTACAGCTCCCTGAAAGGAGGTTGTACTGAGGTGGGGGTTGGTCTCTTCTCCCAAGTAACTAGTGACAAGAGGAAATGGGCTCGAGTTGCAGCAGGGGAGGTTTAGATTGGGCATTAGGAAGAACTTCTTTCCTGCCAGAGCAGTGAGGCATTGGAACAGGCTGCCCAGGGAGGTGGTGGAGTTCACCTGGAGGTGTTCAAAAAAATGTGAATATATGGCACTTCAGAACATGGTTTAAAGGTCATGGTAGTGTTGGGTGATGGGTGGACGATGATCTTAGAGGTCTTTTCCAACCTTAATGAGTCTATGATTTTAAGAAACCCCCTCAATTTGGAAGTTATAAGTGGCTTTTAATGAAATGAAACTGTCTGACTGTGGTATAACTCTCCACGCCTTTTCTAACCTGCTCTTAAAGCCAAGAAAGAAAGAAAAAACAAACCTGGTAATCAATGTCTGCAGAAATGCTCATTTGCCCCATGTGCCTGGTGATGTTTTATTTAAAGTATCACACAATTAGGAGCCTAGAAGATGTAGAAATAAGCATTTTGAGCTTTTCCACAATTTTTATGGTATATCCAATTGCTTTTATGTGTTATTAGCAGCAGGTTTTTTCAGTGGACGCTATTAACCAGTTGACTTCTTTCTGGTATCTGTTATATAAATCTGCACTTAGCAACACAGCAGAATAATTTGCTGTGTGGTATTGTTGTGATAAGGATAGGAGGATTTTTTTTATCATCATTATGGATGGTAATAATTCCTAGAGTGATACAGTGATATTGATCCACTGATCTAAAAAAAAAGCATTTCACAAAGGTAGAGGAGCACTGCCATCCTTATTTTAAGGAATGAGATAACAGAGAGGTGATGAGAGACCAACCCACCTATGGTCAATACAGCACATCAGTGGCACAGTTACAAAACAAATTTGGGTATGGCTGGCCATTTCTGCACACTCCAGCTATCACTATGGCTGTCTGTGTTGGCATCTGTGGTCATGTAGACATTACACAGTGCTAGGAGTCAGGAGGTCTGAAAGTTTCCTTAAGCCGTTTACAATAAGTGATTTAAAATCTTAATCATCTGAGGCAGTTCACTTCTGCTTTTTCATGATAATGAAGCTTAGCACATGATATCACAATCATGAATTTTTGTAAAGCATACTTAGCTCTTCAGAAAAAGTGCTGGATTAAACAACCCTGCAGGCTGAATCCTTCTCTTTGAATAATGAATATAGTACAGGCAGTGGCAAGCTTCTTTAGATAGTCCCACGAACCCTGCTAAAGCAGAGGCCAGCCTCCGTGTCTGCTGAGTCCCTGCTTTCTTTATCTCTACAGCCAACAGGGTATTTTTATTTTTAATACTTTTCGCAGCTGGGAATTACTCTCTGCCAGCCAACTAATTTCACAGGGACTATCCCAGAGCCTTTGGAAGGCAATGCCTCTTGGTTGCTGCCTATGTCTTGTAGCTGGCCAGAATATAACAAGTTACAGATATAAACCACAATTATTTCTTACATGCAGGAGTGAACAATAGTGGGGAAAAGAATGAGTCAAGGAAAAAAAATTCAGTTTCTTTAAAATATTCTGCTCCACCACTGGAGCTTTGTATCATTATTCTAGTCTTGTTTTACAGATGAGTTTCAAACAACTGACAATAGGAATTTGAAGTGGAAATGCTGATGGTCCATTATCAGTAGTGACAGCAATGGGTGCAACTTTATTAAAGTTCTGTCAACTCTTGGCTAGAAACTACAATAGAAACAACCAGTTCAATCTCCTTCTCTCTCTTTATCTTAGCACTTATATCACACTCATCACAAAGTGTTACATCTTCCCTTGATGCCACAGGACAGGATTTCTCCTTGCTGCTGGAGCCATGCGATATACTAAAACCCTACATCATGCCTATGAGTTGACAGCAGACTGTTACCCTACTAGTAGTAAGGTTGCTGTTGTGGTGTAGACATGGATTAACAGTCAGCTGTAACCTTTTTTACTCTTTATTAAGGAAAAAAAAAAAAGGAGCACACACCAGAAATGTTCTACTGAGCAGCATAATCTGGAGCTATTCCTTGTAACTATCTGCTGGTAATAACAATTATTTGCCTGAACCCTTTACCAAAGCTCAGAAGCTGGCATAAATACCAATGAATATACTATTCAAAATCTTTTTGTCCAAGATACCATGATAGGCACTTGTTAGGCAATTGAAACGAGATGCCAAACAGTGTTTATTGGACCATATTCTGATCTCACTGTTGTGAGCACGGCGAGTTCCCCAAGGCTCTGGCATGGTGAGGACAGTGTTTTCCTGTGACAGTGACTGTTTTTCATTCACCCCTCTGTGTCTAGGAGGGAAGTACATCTGAACGGGTGCTGGGAAAACAAATAATGAGTGTGGCAAAGAGAACTAACATCTTGAAAATGGTAACATGAATTAAAACTCATTAAGTATTGGAATTCGTCACAAAATATTTAATTGTGTAAATTCTCCCTCTTGCTTTAGTGAAGAAGCTTTTCACTCTGTGCTTTTTCAGCCAAGGTCTCTCCACTGGAAAACTCCCTTAGCACTTTTCATCTCGACTGCAATACCAACCATTTTCCCAACACTTTGCCTTCTCTCATGGAGTGGTGGTTTTGTGAACCCGATAAACATCTGCCTGAAAACCTGGCTGGCACAGCTGAACTCATTTTCAAGTGTCAACATGGGTGTGTAGAAAGCAATTCAAGTTTAACAAGGCATGATGCATGAGGGCATGATAGAATATCAGTTGTGATTGTGGCCGAAATAAACCTGAGTGGCAGAGAGGATACAGCTCTGCTATGACTACTGGTGTGTGACCTAACTGGACTAAGATCTTTAGCCTCCAGCAGCAGAGAGCAGCACGTTATGGCTCTGCTGCCCTGCCTGATGCACTGGTGACGTGGCTTACAAATCTCAGCTTCTGATTATCATGAGATTACAATTTACAGCAGAACAAAACTATCGCAACCTCACTCAGCCTGTTGGATTTCATGATTAGCTTTCCTCTGCTCATACTATGCACAATGTCTGTTGAATAAAACCATATAAGCAGTGGGATTGCTATGGATCTCAAGAAAGAGCTATTTCTTTGTTGAGTGGTGCTGAGGAGTCAAATCTTTTAAAGGCTCAAAATATCTGGTGCCCAGGTCTTGCCCTATGCTATTTACAAAATGAAATCAGTGAAATCAGAAATATTTGGTTTGCTTCAATGTTGGGTCGAGAAAGAAAATGACAGCACTCGATTCCATCAGTTTGCAGTCATTACTGACATGCAGGAATCAACCTCAGAGCTTTCCCCTAGTCTTCTCCAAGGCAAAAGCCATGATCCTGAGGGTCTCCTTGCCTGAAGGGACTGCTGCATCCCCGACCCAAAAGTTCTAGCATCACAGACTAAGCATGTGTAAGTGTAAGTATGTAATGTCTTGGGGCTCCCTATTTACTGTCAGAATATCTTTGCACCAAATACTTATTATGCAGAAATAGTATAGCAAGTGCTTTCAAGCAGAGCCATGAAATGTTGGAATACCTGCAATTTTCCCTGCTGAAATTTCTGGGTATTTAAAAGAAGCTGGGCTGTACATAAATAAAGAAGAAAAACCAAACAAACAAAAAAAACCCACAAATTGTTGCAGGAAACACAGTGGATCCTACAGCCTACTGGAAACAAGTAGATCCAACAGTAAAGAAAAATATCTATATCTATACCTAAATCTATACACAAAATGGGTACTATTATTTTTTCTGTGCCTTTTGAAAATGTAATAAAATGCATAAACTGTGCTTTCTCTGTTTCTTTTTTCCTATAGAAATGGAATTCATGTTTTCACAGCTCCATGCTAAAATCACTTCACTCCCCATGCTGTTAAATGGGCACGGCTGGTACCACAGCACCCTTCCACACCCACAGACAGGACCATCCCTATTTTCTTTTCCACTGAGCACCACCTGCCACTGACTTTTTGAGAGGTTCACCTCCTGAGAATAATTTCAGGTCCATATACCATGGAGTTAATATCCAGCTTGGGTCAACAATATATGTTTATTTTTCTTTTCAACATGTTTTCAGAGGGCCTTTCCCCAAAAGGCACTTCTGCACTCAAAAAGGACCACTGGCTATCGGAGTCTGTGCTGCACTTCATTTCCAAAGTTCAGGTCAGCCACCTGATCCTCGGTGGTGCTGCTTAACACCTCTGCTCTGCATTTTGGGTTGTGATAGAGGCACAAGATTGAAAAGCTCTTTTTAGAGACTTTTATCCAGGCAAAGCTCTCAGGTTCAAGTTAACCTCTTTGTTTCTCACTTTCAGCAGACCTATGTTTTGCATATGCCTATAGGAAAACACAGGAAGGGGGGAGATACTGCTACAACATGGGCCAGTTCCCATGACCCTGCATGCATTCAAGGAGTCATTTACAGCCTTTTTTTTTTTTTGGCCTTATGCTACAAAGCAGAAATGGGGTCAGGGAAGGATCTTTGATTTTGTGAGAGCAGAAAAGCGAGGGTGTTTTCTCAGGGTGCAAAGGAACCTTTCCAGCTGACAAACAGGGCGATAACACAAGTTAATATGTTGGCACTGAGACCTTTCTGACACTGGAAATGAAAGGTGATAATTTCAGTCACTGTGAAAAGTTCATGTGGACACCTTCATCACGTGGGACGTGGTACAGCATAACCTCTAGCTGCAGCCAGCGGCTGCGCCTGCCTTGGCTGTGACATCCAGCTCCCAATTAGCACTTAAGGAAGGAGACTTTGCAGAGCACACACTCACCTCTGCTCAGCCCGTCCGGTCCCCGAAGGATTCGGCATTCTTCTATCTGCCCGAACGGAGAAAACATCACCCTGATATCATTCTCATTACACTTCTTCGAAACCATTCCTATGAACAATTTTCTGTCTTCCACAGCTAGAAGATAAAAATAATGAATGAGCAAAGGCCATTTCATCTTTTTCCTGTGATCAATGCTTCATTACCACATCAAACCAAGCTCCAGTCATGTGAGTCTGGCTCTGTAACTGAAGACAAGTCCTAAGGCAAACACTTTATACTTACAACCTCCCTTCCCCCCTTCCTCCCCTACCCCAAATCTCTCTTTTTTTTTTTTATTTTTTTTCTCTCTCCTTTTTCTAGTGGTGCTTGCTGTTTATATAACATATTAATTGGCCGCCTTAGTCATTCTACATATGCCTCCCCATCACGGCTTCTAAGAAAAAAGCATCCTCTGTTAGAGAGACTTTTAAAGATATCTTTGCATAGATTTTAATTCAGATAAATTCCCTCACCTCCCTCATGTGTGAAAGAAATCATGACGGGGTGAGGGTGAAGAAGGGATTGTGTGTGTAATGATACGAGCTAATGAAAAATATTCCTGAGAAATGTTTTGAAAGAGCGGCTCCTATTTGAGCTTTCCATTTCAGCCAACTTAATGCATGGCACTCGAAAGGCAGATGTGTAACAACTGCTCTGGAAAAAGAATATATTAAGTTTTCCTGCTTTTTTTTTTCAGACTGCCACAGCCCTCTCCCCTTCAGGAGGGCACAAGACATATTCCAGGGTAGCACTTTAACAGGGGGGCTGCTTAATGGTTTCCCAGAGCCAAACCTTTTGACTCGTAATAATGCTGAATTTGTAAAAAAAAGAAAAAAAAAATTAGAAAGATGTTTTACCTGAATTATTGGTAGAATATTTCCTGCCTGCACTGTCACCAAAATCAGCAAAAGCCAGACTATGCAGCAGGGTGCACGCAGTCCTGATAATCAAACCCAAATTTACAGGTCTAAAGCTGTGGACTTATGTTAAAAATGAAATAGGTCATCAAAACCTAATTCATTCAGGAAAGACTTAAAAATGTTAACTCACCCTTGCATCTATATTAAGCCAAAAAATCTAAGTGCTTATTATACAGTATATACACTAGTGCTTTCTTTTCTTTTGAAATGGCATGTAAATCCAATTCACTGTTAATGAGCAGACTGTCAGAGTTTGAGAGGAAGCAAAGATAGAACGAAAGCTTTACTCCAGAGAGTCTGCACCGCACTTACTTATTTCCATTATTGTGCAAATTATTTTTATAACGAACTATTTTCATTTCTGGACTTACAAAAAAACCCCAACAAACCAACCCAAAAAGCATCTTCCCTTGTTCCTCAACTCTCTCTCCTGTATTAGTACCAGGTTGTCAAATGGAATAAATTGCAGTCGAGGAAGAACAAACTGTGACAATTTTCATAGGATTTTATTTGAATTATACTTCAACATTTTAAGTGCATTTAATAATTCCAACAATAAAAAGGAGAGGTTCATGTTTATTGATCATGAGAGGTGTTTGAAGAAATTTTTTTTTCCTTAGAATCACTGACTTTAAAAAAGTATTTGTAGCATTTTTACAAGCAAGCACTAAGCCCGTGCATTTTTCAGAGTCCAAAACAAAGACCAGCTCCTATATTCCGGATTCTCACTCTACAAGCTTGCAAGAAAATCAGAGTGAATTTAAAAAACAGTGGAAGACCATCTAAGATCATCAAGTCCAACTATCAACCCAGCACTACCATGACCACTAAAGCATGTCCTCACTGAACTGCCTAGCTCACAGCCACAAGGAGAGTCTAGGTAGCCACTTCTGCTGGTAAAAGGATGACTGTAACTTGGATACTCATAATTTTTATATTGCTTTGTGTAACCTTTTTGAGGAGGGTCCCTGGCCAGCCTGTCCCCTCGACAACAGCTACGCACTAAGGCCAGGGTGCAGGAAAGGGTATGAGGCAAGGGACCCGGCTGGGCTGTTGTGTGGACTTTTCCGTACAACTACCTGAGCTCAGGCTGGGGGAAGCCTTGCTGCCAAGCGCAGGTCCAAGCTCTACCTTTTGCTTTGTGCTGTGAACCTCCTAATCTTTGCTGGTGTGCCAGCTAGTAACACCCACTTTAAATTTGGGTTGATTTTAGGCTTGAAATACTATGAGAAGGTCTACCCTATAGGTGACTAGATCCAAACCCTCTCTTAAAAATAGCTGTGGGCCTGCCACACCATCCCAGAAGAGGTTCCTTGGGTCCTGCTTAGGTGCAAGGACAAAGACTCAAACCAAAGAGGTTCACATCGAGATTCGAAGGAAGGGAGATGTAAACAGGAAGGCTTTGCTTCAATTTTCTGAGAAGTAGCAGACGACAAACTCCCCACTGGCCTCCTTCAGTTTTGCTGTAAACCTATAAATATGCCATTTAACTAACATGATTTGCAGGTTTTCAGCTTCAGGGTGATTTTATAGTAAATTAAACATCCAGCTCCCGTGTACTGTACATCTTAAAAATGCAGATTTCACGAAGAATGCTCAGAGTACAGAAAACATATTGATATGGTGACGTGCTCTGCATTCAGTGCTATTAGTCAGCGCTGATCAGTGTTGAAGCTTAAGAAAATTGCTATTCTTTTCCTGGCTAGGGGCCCAGCATAAAAAACATTTTAAGGGACAATTGTCAGCATCAAGATGACACATTTTCACTCCGTCTGATAAAACATCTGATACTATTAGGCTGAATGAGTTTTTAAGGATATATTCTCACGCAGAGAAAGGAATGGTTTTTCACCTCCATAAGATTGGCTGTCTGGATTTGTTTCTGCATTTTTGGTCAGCCACTTCTCTCCTTTCTTTCCAAAATGAATTCTGAATGAATGCAGGCACGATTTGAGAAGCAAATAGGCAAGGGAATGCAAGAAGTATGGGTCAAACATATTTAGAGGTTAGCAAACTTCCCTTTTGATCAGCCAAGCCTGTTGATTTGCCTGTGGAGGTTGGGCTTCCTCCATAGACTGTAAAATGAGGAACCCAACATTAAACACACACAACCCAACAAAGCACCAAGCCTGGGAAAGGTGCAAACTGCTGCTGATTGGAGAAAGGATGGCAGTCTAAAGCAGTCTTGCCTAATTTTAGTCATTTACAGTTTAGGTGTCCAGTTTTATTTTCCGCTAAAATGTTATCAATTGGCTGTCATCAATGTCAAGAGATCAGCTCCTCCAAAGACAAATCTCACGTCTCCCAGCAAGATGGGATGGCTTGTTTCATGGCAGTCTCTCCAACACTACTGGATATTTATATACATACACTATGTATATCCTTCCAGTCAAATCTTAAAACTTGTTTACCATGATAAAACATAGATGTCCTGAGCTCCAGCTGCAGGGATGGGAGGAATAAATGAGCTCTGAGGGGCTGGACAAAGCTTGGGAACTGCAAATGCTTTGGGGGGCTAAGGGGAAGGGTAACAGGGCACAGGGGTCAGCACCTCGTGCACACATCTCATAAGCATTTCACTGCTGCTTGATAATTCTCTCTCCCGCAACAGGGGAAGGTTTCAATGAGTCAAACTCCAGAAAGTTAATGAAAACTGCGGGTGGCTCATTACCTGTCATTGATGGAGCAGAATCAGTGAGAAGATCACAGAACAAGGCCTGAAGTTCTAGTTACATGAACAAAGGCATGAAACTGCACAGCATCTTGATGAACTAATGATGGGGTTCACCTCTAATCCATCCAAACATACTACAAAACCAGGTTAGGTATGCTGACAGCACAGTTACTGTGACACACCCAGTGCTAAGCCTGCTGGATATGGGGTGGAAATCTTTTGCCTTAAAGCTGGAAAGCATGTGTGATGAGGTGCAGGTATCTGTTTTAAAATAAGATGAGTTGTTCTCCCAACTCCATCAAGACAAGCTCTGCAAGCACCAGCATGGGAGCCTAGGAACCGTGTCTGAATCCAGGGCCCTAGGTTAGCCATCAAAGGTTATCTGAGATGAAGTCTACCTCTGCTGGGGGGGCTTTTTTCAAACCGAGCCTCCTGCCTTCTGACAGCACTACATCCAACTTGCAGAATAACATCCTGAAGGGTCTAATTTTTTAGCTTTACTCAATTTGCTTCAGTAATGAGTATTTCTTGCAGGCTGTATTAGATCGCTTGTGCTAACCCAGGAGAATAGAGGAGTAGAGATTATTTTCTGTATGCTACAAAAGAACTAAACCCTGTAATAATCGTGGGAAAGCTCCCTGAAGATTCAACAAACTTTCCTCTTCTGTCTTCTAAATCTCAACAATTCTGTCCTGAAAAATCTAAATTACATCCCTTTATTAAACATTTTTGAGGAGTACGGTCAGTTAAAGAGTGCACTTTTTGTCCAGAAGTTGCCTTCTCTTTTGAGAAAATCAAGAAATAGTTAATTATGTATAAATGGGATTTTTTTTGGTTGGTTTGTGGTTTTGTTTTCTTTTTTTTTTCATCCAGAAGGGAAGGGGGAAGACAGAATTTTATCCCTATTTGTAAGCCTGTGAAAAACCCTTGCACACAATCTGTCAAAGTCACACCTGGATGCAGAGCTGCCTGCATTAATTATCAACTTTTCTGTGTGTTAGTGCTAACATATGGCATTTAATTACTCCCTCCAAATAGGCAAAATTGTGCCACTTTGAATTTCAAAATTATTTTTTCAAGTTTTCACTAATAAAATAAAAATAAATTGTAAGATCACACAGTCTCTCTCCTTTTTTTTTTTTAAATGGGGAATTTTATCATTTTCACTTAAGAGGAGATACTTTGATCCATTTAAGAGCATACTGCCCACAAGATATGTGTCCAAAAGCATTGACTGTATTCAAATCCTGATCCAAGTCACATTTAACTATTTGCTATATTGTAGCATGTTAATGGCTACACACAACTTAGAATCAAGAATATGTTTATGGCACAGGAGTGCAGGAACCTCCTTTGCCTGAAAACAGGAAAACATCCTTAAATGGATTAACACTGTGAGTAATTAACAATGAAGGTGAAACCTAGTAATGGTGGAACCTTCAAAGCCTTGAAACCATCCTTTTCTGGCAGGTAATCCTTATTTGAACACAGGTTAAAATAACCACCTAGCAATATAAAGGTGGTCAGACGAGGCCTCATGGTTATCAGACCAGGACACACTACAACATTCATCATCTGAAAATCTTTCAGGGATGTTACATTTCTCAACAATAAAAGTCTTTTAAGAATCCTCCAGGGAAGACAAATTAATTTGATCTACAGGCAAGTCCTTCCTCATCACCTGTAGCTGCTGAAGATGGTAAAAGAAATTAAGCTTTGGTTCATCTGAACAAGCAGAGAGATGACTGAGACACATGAGCTATTGTACATTGGGAAGGAATGGAGATGTCTATCAACCACCCACTTCCTACCCAGAAGAAAACAGATCTTCAGGTTGCTGATGAAGTCCTAATCCCGCAGAAGTGCTCAGGTACTTAGTCAAACACCTGCGGGAGGTGCCCATCTCCCAGTCTGCATGAGGAGAGTTTGGCCTTTAGTGCTAAGGGGCAGGTTTCTGAAGTGACACCTGCATCTAAAGACAGGAACAGTGCTGTAGAAGGAGAAGCATCTCATCCTAGTACTCCTGGGCCTAGAAGGCCATTCAAACTTTTTGGCAAAGGACTCAAAACAGGGAGGGGACATCTTATGACACAGCAGATACTGTTTTTGTTTTTTTTTTAAAACCTCTGTAGGATGAATGAGAGGAACTTTCCTTCCTCCCTGTAGAGCTTGAACAGGTCTCTCAAGCCCTCACACACACGTGCAAGCTCAGAACTGTAATAAGTGTTCAGCTTCTCCTACCTATCTTTCCACAAGCCACCTGGAAATTCTGATCAACAGAATTTCTTTAACCTCTTTGACACCTGATGAACACCACTTTACCTAGAAAATGTAGTGGGATCCTCTCCCTAGTCAAAAATCAAAGGTTTCCAAGCATTCCTAAAAAAGCTCAAACATCATGGATCATGCAAACCAAGATACCTTGGCACGCCTTTGAATTTACCAATCTGGTTGAAGAGGTACAGTTTACAGCTTGCTGTTGGCACAGATAATATACCTCCTCTGATGAACAGCCTGAAGCATATGGGAAACACATGCCAAAGAGGCCTCCACACCCCCATGCTGCTGTTCTTTCTCTTTTTGGCTGTCCAAGCTGCTTGAAAATTCTCACCTCCTCCACGGATCCCACGCCCACGCCCCATCTTTCTGAGGAGTTGTAACATTGCTACCATCATCATGGTATTACTTTGCCTTCTGCTTCCCCAGTCATCAAAAAGGAAGAGTCCACCACCCCCAGAACTTGCCTACCAGAAGTACATGGTACCCTCCATGAGTCCAAACTGGAAAAGGTACTTAAATTGCAACCTCTGATCTGCCCGTATGTTTTCTCAAAAACACAAAGAAAGGGAAGTGGAAGAAAAAAAAAAGAAAAAGAAAAAGAAAAAGGCAATCTCTTGTGATTTTCATGCTAGGGATAGCTGCAAGTAAATGATTATTCCCACAGTGCAGACAGGGCTATCATGAAGATAACTCCAGCCTCAGAGCAGCAATGAGGAGCTAACCTACCCTGCTGTCCAAGCTGATGCACAACTCCCCACAGCCCTTTGCCAATATGCTCAATCTCCTTTAGGAAGAAAAACCTCAGGCAGTGAACAAGTAACTCACTGGGAGTCAGTTTTGACCCATTGCCTCTGATTTTTCTAATTTGACAAGGAACTTGAGGTGAAATTTGTTTTTTAAAGGAGAACTCCTAGCAGCTATAAGTAGTTCAGAGGAGCTAGTGCAGGGTTTCTCTGCCTAAGGGAAAACATGCCCACTGCAAGCACAATAAACACTAGTGAGTGGAGTTTGGATTCCAGCAGCAAAGTTCTCCTTGACCACAATGTGGCCTGAAAAGTTCAGTCCTTCTGTCCATGAAGGCACCTTGGCCTCCCTCCTATGCATTCAAAGACAGCAAGAAATCACTGCTGAAAATCAATCCAGGAGAGAGAACATCACTGCCTTACAAATGGGTGATGGCTCAAATTTCCTGTGCTTGTGGCCAGTTTTGTTTGGAAAGTTGTCCAAATAGGAAACTTAGCATAATGTGAAGTTTTAATTTCCTCCCAAACTTCATAATCCTTGGAGAAGCCTGAAAATGGGATGCACTACAATTAGCAAAAAAGAAACCTTAAAAAAGCCTTGCGGAGAGATTTAGAGCCCAATCATAATTTACATTTGCAGGTATGTAGATCTCTAAGTGCACGGCTTCTGCCCTGATTACTAATTAATGAGGTGCAAAGATGCCTGTTGAAGGAACCAGCTCTGATTATGTGGGCCTTATGGGAAAATGAAGCTCTTGCAATCTAAGAAGGCAGATGATATCTTTAACATATATTTTAGAAAATTACAGGAACAAATCAAGGGGCAAAATATACACATGTATATATTTTTAAAGAATCACACACAGCCAGGTTGCGTTACCATCCGATTATCTTATTTCCTTGAATATACAAACCTGGCATGTTTAATAGATTTAGCATGCTGTCTGTTTTGTATGCCATATACATCCACTTAGGCAGTACCCTAGTACTCTGAATGGATATTACTGTCTTTATGGCATTCATTTTACAACTGTTGAGAGGAATACAGAGAGCTGCAAGGTGGCTTTCCCACTTCAGAACCAAGCATATGACTAAAACCTAAATTTGGCTCAGATCCAGAACAGAATCATTCCATAAAAAGGAAGCTTAGGCAAATGTTTAAGGCCCATCAGCTGCTTTGAGGGTTTGTTAACACAGGAATGTTTTTTGTTTCTTCTCTTTTATTTTCACCATTGCAATTTCATCTCCCTCCTATCAATATCAGGTGCTCCTCCATCACCTCTCTGCTAGGAGATCACAAGGGAAAGAAAGACATATGTAGCAAGGCAGGCTGTGACATACAGCAGGTACAGGGAAGACTGTTTTCTTTATATCAGCAAATAAATGGGAGTTCAGAGCGAGTCAACATCTGCCCCACCACATCAGATGTAGGGAATCTACCTCGTATCATTTACACCACACAAGGAGTAAAGCAAAAGCTCTCACAATGTTGTGTTTGTTTTAGTTTAGAGAGAGTCACAATTAAGTAAAAATAAATTAAACACATACCGTTTGACTTTTCACTATCTGCAGGTTTCATCTGAATAGGATGATGCATCTAAAAACAAAAATGAAGAAGAGTGAGGCAGGTTGGATAGTCATAAAAATTTAAGAATCATGTTTTTAATGAAGGGCTAAAAAGATAAATGATTAATATTAAACATGTTGAAATTATATAAATTCAAAAGAACACTATATTATAGGCTTTTAAGAAAAAATAAAATGGTAAAGGAGCATTTTATAACCAGGAAGATTAAAAAAAAATAGATCATTGGGCCCACAGGACTAATATAAAACTTTAATTTGCTGTATCTAGTTTCAGAAGACCTCTAAAGTTACAGCCCTCATTAGTTTATGGTATGCTTGGTTTCTGTTTTATCAACTTCTTATTCTTGAGCTCAACCACTGCCAAAACCGAGATGGAATTTTCAAGTAATTTAAGAGCTAGCCAGCATTTCAAACATACTCAGAGGAGTTGCATTTGACAAATGAACTTTGCTTGTAATTAAAAAAACATGTGCTGATTCTTTCAGGACTGAAGAGGAAGAGACTTGTGCTTCCTCTAATACCTCCTTATAACTGTTTAGTATATCAACTCTTTATTTTTAATTTTTTTTTTTTTTTTTATTTATGTATATTATACATTCAGTCCTAAAGCTTCCATCTCGACGTGGCACAATTTTGGCTTCCATAAAAACTCCTAGGACTTTTTCCTTTTCAACCTTCCTCCATTCCTGTCCTTCTTACTGCAAAAGAGCCCAGTCCCTGGGGGCAGCACGCTGTGATGAACCTCGCACGGCGCCCCACCTTGGCACACTCAGTATATGGTGTGTCCTCAGCTTCCTTTACTAAACAATGTCCCCCTCACACTGAATTCTTCAAAACTGCAATGAAATTTTCATTAACAGTTTTTTTTCTGTGGTTTCAGGAATAGCCATAACACAAGAGCTGAGCTACCTCTGAGCAGAGTGTGGGGCCTGTCCGCTGGACAGCCATGTGTCCACTGCAAGGGATCCAGGGAAATTTCATACAGCTTCTTAAAAGCCTTCAGAAGCGACCTCACACTGAGTTTCAATGTGGGAGATGTTTAAGCTTGCAAAACCCCTCACTTTTACTTTCTTTCACAGTGCTCTGCAGAATTGCTGGGATTTGAATGCACAAACCTACCAGCAGCAGCAGGGCCACTGCCTTTTCTCTTCTCAGCAATTTCTCACCATTTCACGTGAGCAGGTGAAAAATCCATGCTCTTTCTGCTTTTGTGTCATTTTTCAGTGCAGCAGAGCCGAGTAGTGCCTGAAAATGTCAGAGGCGATTCCATATTTTTTATAAAAGACTATTATGGCAAACTTTGGGAAACAAAAACAGCTGAGCAGGAGAGAACATCCATGCACTTGTATCAAATGTGCTTTCAAAGCAGCAGAGAGAAACAAATCTGCGTTGCTTTTGGTGGAGTCATTTAACCTACAGGGACGGAGTTGCTAGATTCTTTAGAAAATACAAAATACTGCTGTGAATGTTTCCCTAAGATCTGTTCAAAGTCCAGAATGCTCCCTGCTCCTGGAAATCAATGCATTCCTTGTACTGCTTGCAAAGCTCCCCACTGCGCCCTAAGGAAAAGGCAAAGCCACAAGGTAGATGTAGTCACTAGGATGCATAAATTTGCTTCAATTTTAACAATTCTGTTCTCTCTGAATCATTTGTTTCCCAAATGGACTTTAAGAGCCCCGCACTTGTCTGCCATCACTCTTATTCGATCTAATTTATAGAAAAAAGGCAAGTTCTATTGTACTCTATCTTCTTTAACTAGTGCTTAACACTTATCCTGGCATCAACAATACATTGGGCACTGCAGGAGGCTTTGAATTCATGGGAATGTGCTGCAGCATGTCCACTTAGCAAGCAAAAACTGAAAGAAGAAAAAAGGTGCAGCTTGCTCCACAAGCCCATGTCAGCCAGAGATTCTCTGAGGACCAATGGAGTTCTGGTAAAATAGAGGAAAGAAAGTTGAATGTGGTAAATTTGGGAACATACAGGTTATAGAAGAAGACCCATCCCAAATCCAGAGCTTTTGTAGATAGAGAATTTATTGTTCTCTAGCTGCCTTTATATGCCCCTGCATGGAGAGATTTTGACTAAAGGCAATTCTAACAATATTAAAAACCTTTCACTTTTTGAACTGCCTGACCTAGAGAAACCAACTTTAGACCAAATTCTTTAGACCAAGTTCTTTTTGCAGCCCTGTGGTCACAACGTAAAGATCAGTGCTACCTGGAAAACACGGTTACCACATCAGGAATCCTCCTCTTCTGTTACATATAATTACTCAAAGTTCATTAAGTCACTAATCCATTAAGTTTGCAAAGCAAGAAGCATCATTTAAAAAGAGGCTTCAGCTGGCTTTTGACTTGATTTCAAAGGTTCCTGCTGGAAGCCTATGGTCCAACTTTGCACAAGCAAGCAGAAGTTGGGAGTGTTGCTGTTGTGCTTAACAAAATCTTATCAGTGCAAACTAATAGAAGGCTCAGACCAGGCCCCTAGAGTTTAAACCACAGCATATCCATGGTGTAATGGATGTGATACACAAACACAGCTTCAGCGAAGGGGAAGGCGGAAAAATACCTTACTGACAGTTTCCCAACATGAGAGGGCTCGTGTTGAAGCTTGTTTAACCCTGACCATCACCAACCGATACGTTAACAACCTTTAACACTAGATTCAATAAAACATGCCATTTATAACCTGAAATGGGTTTTACAGAGTCACTGGTTCGCATCTCATTATTAAACTCATTGCTGACCTCTAGAGACAACTGCCGTGACAATACATATTATAAGCTCCCTACCCATAAAATATTTAAAAGTAGGTGTAAAAAAGAACAGAATGAATCTCAAAGAAGTGTGCAGCGAATAAGAAAATTAAAGGGGCAGAGACAAAGGCTAAATAGGTACTATCCTTTCACTCTACGATGAGCAAAAGAGAAAATAATCTATGCAGTTTATATCTTGCTTGTATAACTGCAGGCTATAAAATAATAAAATAGCTGCGCTTTCCGAGGCTCTCCAAAAGATTACAGATGATATAAACCTGTTTCAAATTAGATGCCACCCACTAGAATCATGTCATCTACCGAAATGAAGGATTTCATGTCTTATCAGCAAGCTGTTATTGTAGCTATACATCACAAAGCCATACACTTATGGTTCTCAAGGTAAGTGATTTCTCAGTATGTCATGTTGTCACACAGAAAAACATGAAGCACTTTCTTCTGTGCTTGAAGAAAGCGTTGCTTATGAAAATATGGTATTTATGAATGTACAATTGCAATTAATAAATAGGCAAGAGTAAGAAAAATAACTGCAGTAAATTATTTATAGATATTAACATCATCCTGTGCTCAGACCATATAGTAGAAGACAGCAACACAGCTCTCAGGCAAGTTGTTTCTGTGTGTGAGCAGCTTCCTCTGGCAAGCACCGTGCATGGGGATCTCAAAACCAGACTGGAGACAACCTTTCCTTGGCAATATTTTAGCGAGCTCGACCGCACGCTGTTGTGCCGCCAGTAATGGCACGACTGACCTGTCGAATACGTGCTCGCGGTGCACAGGTCTCAAAACACACCATGCCCCTGATTGTACAACTGAGAGCAGGCAAACGCCTGTAGCCCCAGGTTGTGTGGTGCCTTGGGGCAGTGCTGGCAGTGAAGCGGGGCTCCACAGAGCTCTCATGGAGGCCACACAAAGCCCGAGGCCAGGCACATCCCAAGCAGGGGTGCTGATGTGGTCCACAGGAACCAAAAAGGGGAAGAAACAGTTGTCAAACATGCAAACCTGAAAATCTGCCTGAAATCAATAAGAATCTGGCCGCTGGCTCTGTCGAGGGCGGCAGCAGGACCGAGCCATGGCCCAGAATCACAACTGAGAAGTTATATCTTCCCCCACACCCCCTCTTTTTCCTGAGTGCATCCCACCATATGTAAATATAACTTCATTAGAGAAAAAAACACAGCAGAGCAACCCAAAAAACTCTCAAAGGTACACACCCTTGCCAGCTTTAGAGCCTCAAAGTCATCTTTTTGACAATACTAATGCTACCTATTTACATTCTTGTCAAAGCCATGTGACATCTGCATAGGAGAAAACAAGCCGGCTAAGAGTCTATTTCTGGCAAAAATATTGCAAGGAAATTAGATTAACCTGGGTGGAATTCTATCTGGGAATTTGGAGTCTGTCGTGGTGATTAAGTCATCATTTCTGTCAGATTACTCTAATCGACTGTCAAATATGATTCTACAACCCCATCTGTAACTTGGCATCCTCCTTATTCAGTCGATGTTACCTTCTGTATACAAAACAAACACCAAACAAGGAGGTGTGTGCAGCCTAGCATTTAGCAGAGTCATTAGCTGTGATTACTATTGTGTGCTTGCACATTACGCAAGGCCATCAGCTTACAGCTTGTTTTATTTAGTCAGAGGATGCTTCACATCAGGTGTGATCTTAAACCTGGAGGGCTACAGGGGTGAGTGGAGAAGAACTGTCTCGAGGCATGGCTGAGCATGGGACTGGCACGCTCTGAGTCACCACTGCGTCATCAGAAATTGCTTCAACCTCAGTTCAGAGTGGTCAGCAGATTTGGTGGAAAGGCTTTTGGGCTCCTGCTTGCCATCCATTTTCTGAAGAGAAATGGGTGCTCAGGTGTTCTAGGTAGGCTAAAGACTTCCTGCGAGCAGTAATTCCTGCAAGCAAAGGAAGGTTTGTAGGCTGAGGGAGTCAACGCTCTAAATTATCTTCATTGGTTGGTTTACAAAGAGGTGTTTTGTTATCTGTGTGAGTATTTTTGCCTTATGGAGGACTCTGGCGATTAAAAAGCAGGAAATGCCTTTCAGTGAAGATGAAAGAGCTGATGAGCTCAATTTGCTGCAGTTGAGTTGACTCTGTGAAATTTGGGTGCCCTCAGCACCTCTGAAACTCTGGCCATGTAATTAGACTAGGAAAAACCATTATTTTATGGTCCATTGCAAAAACACCTTCATACATGATGACCACATCTATTATCA